GGAAACGGAGAATTCTTTTGTGACAATGATAATGATGAAAGGCAAAATGCCCTATTTATTCACATGGTCACATCTCTTTTCCTAATCGTTACACTCCGAAGTATGAGAGCAGCAGCTCTTGTGTACATAAATCCAAACACCAGCTAAACAGAGTAGCAGAATGAAAATAGGAATGGCTACCACCCAACTACCTGACATCTCAGAGCTGTGGTGGGAAGGTGGGGAGGTGCCGAGAAAGAAAGAAGATGTACCCAGGCATAAGTGTACAGAAGGCAGGACAGATGCTGATTGAAGACTGCACATTACAGTGCTTTTCTCCCATGTGTATCACTGCAGGTGCTAGTGGAAACTCAGTGAGCCAGTCAGGCCAGTGGGCTAGGGTCAGAGCAGCCAGGAAGTAGGTACATTACTCTCCATCATTCTTAGAAGCCCTGGGCATTTGGAGTGTGGGAAGCCCACTGCCTGCTGGGGGGTGTGGGGGCCATGCAGGCCAGATAGGAGTGTACAGGAGCAAAGAGTTTAGCTAATCCGTTAAATGGAGGAGCTAAATGGGCTGCTCTCTGGGTTCCTTCTTCCCTAATGGACTGCTGGTTGAGTAATAGGCAAACCAGTCTGAGAAAGGGTCCGAGATTCAAAAAGTATGACTATTCAATTGGTTAGGTCTTCTTCACAGACTCTTTACCAAGAGCGTCCCTTAACTATGAGTCACCCTCTCCCTCTCTCTCTCTCACCTCCCTCCAGTTTCTCCTTTCACCCACTCCCTTTCCCTTCATTCCTATTGCCTTTTATCTTCCCTTTTGTCAATTTAGTGGCTACCAGAGCAAAGAGCTCATAAAGGTGAAATAGAAAAGAAAAAAGGTGGAGGGACAGATATTTGGAGACCATTTTCAGAATTTTTTGACTGGAAGCCTCAAATTTTAACCATTTTTCAAAATGAAACAAACTCAAGACTCTTATATAATCCATTATAACAACAACAAAAAAAGTTAAACTAAAGGAATCATTTTACTTTAATGAGGATTTGTTAGCTTACTTTTCCTTTGAATATGGAACCCAACTATTCTGCAGTAAATAAATTTAATTCCAATGACCCTAAAGAGAAACTAAAACCAAACCAGTTATCATCAAGTCAATTCCAACTCTATGGTGGGTCTGAACCACCAACTTTTGGTTAGTAGTCCTGCCTTTAATTGTTTGCATCAGTCAGAGACTCCCTAAAGAGAGACAAATGCCAGTATTAGCCCAACACCTAATCCAGAAATAAAGATTTTTGGGAAAGAGTAGGACAAAATGGAGTGAGTCCAAAAAATCTACTCACTGCCATCGAGTCGATTGTGACTCACAGTGACCCCTTCTTGGGTTTCCAAGGCAGTACCTCTATGGAAGTAGATTGCTTAATCTTCCTCCTGAGAAGTGGCTGGTGGGTTTGAACTGCCAGCCTTCTGGTTAGCAGCTAAATGCCTTAGGCACTACGCCATCAGAGCTACAATAATACTAAAAACAACCCATAGGTGTCAAATTGTAGAGTGCTGAAAAAAGAGCCACTCTACAGTAAAGTAGACCCACAGGGCTGCCAAACCCAGACACTCACACAGTAGCTGTCTCAGACTCATGTGGTTTCCAAGGTTGTAGGTGCAAGAGGTTATGTACCAACAACTCTTTGGAAATTATTCGCTGCCTATCAGTTCATTTGAGTGCTAACCAGAAGGCCGGCAGTTCAAACCCACTAGCCACTCCTTGGAAGGAAGACTGGGAAATCTACTTCCGCAGTGATACAGTCTTGGAAACCCAAGGAGGAGTCACTATGAGTCAGAGCCAACTCCATAGCAGTGTGTTTGGTTTGGTTTGGTATCAGTTCACAGGCAACTAAATCATTATTATCATTTTTGTCATGTGTAATATAAGAACTATTCTAAGCTTCTTCACAGAGTCCTGTTGGGAAGTACTTTAAAAATAAAAAGATAAGATACATTTTGAGATAACTGGGGTCATTTGGATATGGGATATACATTAAATGGTATTACTGAGTTAACGTAAATTTTCTTAGCTGTGGTAATGGTATTGTAATTATGTAGGGGAATGTCCTGACTCATATGAGATGCATACTTAAATTTTTATGGATGAAGTCTCATAATGCCTGCAACCTACTTCCAAATAGTTTGTCAAACACACATACACACACACACACACAAACATTCACACACATATACAGCAATAAAAACTGAGAAACAGTTTGATGGATACCACAATTCTTCAAAAGCCTAAAGACTGGTATCACTAGGTACTTCTGGAAGCAGGAACATAGGGGAAGGAATGGCTAAAATAAGGAGGATTGGCTGAAGTCTGCTTATGAAGTATTAGCATCCCTCCCTGCTCCATGCAATCAGGATACTGACTCCATGAGAAGATAGCAGCTTTTTCCTCTACAGAAGAGAGTCCCTGAACTGGGATAACCAGGTACAGTTGAGAGTAAGAGAACCTTATTGTAAACATAGATATCAATAAGTATTTACATATTGAATGCCAGCTGCCCCTATAATCTCCCCCTACCTGGCTTCCAGAAACTAGCAATCAGCTTTTATCCTCAGGCAAGAGCTTGGAAAATAGTTCTTTTATTGGGAATCTGACTAGCCTAAGAGGAAAACCCAAACGATCCTGCCATCAAGGGTTTCACCAACAACACAGGCTAACTAGGTCTCCCTAAACATAGGTGTGGTAGGTACACTGTAGGTACACTCATGGGCTGATCAACCTCATCCATGTGCTCCCCACTCTCAAATAAGAGCAGGCAAACAAGAAACATGAGGCATTAGAGGAGAGTTTCTAATGTATAAAACAGAGACTGAAATAAACACTAAAAATGCAAGAAAGGCTAAAAAGGGAGAACAAAACATAATTAAAAGTCAAAACTCTCATTAATATACTCAGATAAGATGCTGCAATCATGAAACAAGAACAGGACACTACATGAAATAAGGATCAGTTAAATAAAAGGAAAGAGCTTTCGAAAATTAAAAATATGACAGCATGAATGAAAAAAACTCAACAAAGGGATTAGAAGATAGAGTCTCTTCCGAAAAAGGAAGATGAGAAACAGAAAAAAGAAAATAAAAAATTTGAAGTTCTGGTCCAGGAGAGCCTATCTGAATAATAAATTTAAAAAAGAACAAATAGAGCAAAAAAATGGGATGACACCATCAAAATAATTTAAGGACAATTCTCAGTGCTGAAGGGCACAAGATTCTACACTGCAACAGCCCTTCTAACACCCAGCACAATATACTAACATGGACCCACATGAAGACCCATTATCATTGGGAACAAAGAGAAAAATGCTGCAAACTTCTAGGGAAGAAAACAGGAATCGAGGCCTCAAATAAGTTACTTCCAAAGCACCTTTCTCAAGAAGCTATTGGAGGCCTGAGATAGTTTCTAAATCTTAAACTAAAAATATCCCCTGAAGTCTTCTTTAAACCAAACAATGGTTAACTTAAGTAATAAAGAATGTCTTCCTTGAACACTGTACTCTTTTTTCTTTTCATTGTGCTCTTTTCAAAAATTATCTACATGCAATCAAATTGTCAACAGCAACCTGAAAGTTTAGACACGAAGTGTGGAGGGGCAGTGAATTTATGTTAATGGTAGAGGAGTAATTTGGATAGTACTCAATGTCACCGAATTGTATGTGTAGAAGTTGCTGAATTAATGTAAGTTTTGCTGTGTATATTTTCAATAATTAACAACAAAAATAAAGTATTTTAAAAATCACACAAAAAGGAAGCTATAAGAGGAAATGTTCCACCAAAACCAGAGTAAATCAAAAAAGAGGATGAATTGGGGTACAGGAAACAGGAGCACCTCCATGAGATGATGGGGAGGGGGTAGAGAAGAGCTGTGCACTAGATGCCAAGAGCATCGGTCCTGAAGGAAGGACGTGTGGAGAGCTGTCCAAGGAGATGGACTCGATAGTGTACCTTATACACCTAAACATACCGAGGAGATGTGGACCACTGCTGCAAGAGTTCAGCATTGAAATTGTAACATGTAAATTTAAAAAAAACTGTAAAAAGCAAGACCATTATTAATGCCAGGAAAAACAAAAAGGAGTACAGAGAAGGAGAAGCAAGCATAATTAATCATCGTGAATTCAAGGCTCACCTGTGAGCAGAGTTTATATAATCATAGAAAAAACAGATCTAACCAAAATAATAATACCTCTGAACTGGACATAGCAGCAGGGCAGAAAGGGTGAATGTGTGGTGGGGATGACAGCAGAGAAAAGAGCTAAAGCCTTGTCTTCCTTAGTGGGGAGTCATCAGATCAGTTCTAAAGCTCACAATCAGGGGGCAGCAAGACAATGTGTCATTCAGAAGTTTGGATGTAAATACCAAAAGAATGTGCCAAGAGAGTTTAAAGTGGGAGCCACTAGGGAGGGGAGAATGAAGAATAGAAGACAGGAAACTGCCGAAATTTTTGTAATAAATCATGTAGAAATATTGCACTCTTTCTGTGCATATACAAATAATTTATGTATACATTCTGGTAGCATAGTGCCTAAGGCACTTGACTGCTAACCAGAAGGCTGGCGGTTCAAACCCACCAGCCACTCCTCGGAAGGAAGGTTGGGCAATCCTACTTCCGTAGTGATACTGCCTCGGAAACCCAAGGAGGGTTCGCTATGAGTCGGGGCCGCCTCGACGGCAAATAACAACAACAACAACAACATACATTTTAACTGTTTAAAATAACTTGTATGTGTATAAATCATTATACACTCTGCTCATCAACTTACTAGGTATTTTTTAAATTACCAAACTATAGCTACATTATAGAGGTTTTCATTAGATACTAATCTATGTAAAGAATAAAAGCTACTCTCACATTAAATAATTAGTACATTTAGGTCTGTTTGATAACTGTCTTGGAATATTTAAGTGCTGATGCCAAGTCTTTTTGGCCAAGTTCATTTCACAACACTCTAGGTAATGCAAAGTACTCACAAGTTCAAGTGGACTGAGACGTGCACCAGAGATAGGCCTTGAATCAGACGATTCAAAACTGGATGCATGGAGGCTAGCAAAAGACAACATGAAGAAGCATTAGTTTGTGAATAATTATTTTCCTTTATTATTAGTCTACCTCAGTTAACTCTACCAAAAAAACAAAACATTCAACAAATAAGTCTTGAGGAAGAAGCTAGTTTTAAAATACTACAGTACTTAAAACATCTTATTACCAAGATGATATCTACATATGTATTTGTATATGCTATAAAACCAAAACCACACTCATTGCCATGGAGTTGGATCCAACTCATAGCGACCCCTCCTTGGGTTTCCGAGAACTAACAGGGCAAAGTTATGATAACTTCTCAGGCACAGTCAACCACCTTGATGAAGCGAGTTGTTGGGCCTGTGGGCTCAGAACCATGATCGCAGGGGGATGTCAAGCTCAGCTGGCATAACATACTACACAAAAGCACTGTTCTACATCCTACTTTGGTGAGTAACGACTGGGATCTTTAAAGCTTGCAAGTGGCCATCTAGATACAGCAATGGGTCTCTCCTTGTTCAGAGCAAGGAAGAATGAAGCAAACCAAAGACACATGGAAACAATTGATCCAAAGGACTAGCAGACCATGTGATCCTCAGCCTATATAACCAAGAGGCCAGAAGAACTAGATGGTGCCCAGCTACCACTGTCAACCACCAGGAAAGGGACCAATGCAGGAGGATCCTGGATAGATGGGAGAACATGTGGAACAAAACTCAAAATCATAAAAAAAAGATCAGGTTTACAGGTATGATAGAGCCTGATGAGACCCTTGAGACTATGGCCCCTAGTCACCCTTCAAATCTGGAACTGAACTCACTCCTGTGGCTTCCAGACAAAACACAGACAGGTGTATAGGCTCAACATTTACATCAGGTGGATACACTCCCTAGAATGATCAATCATGGGAGAACAGACGGGTAGTATTTGCACAGGGAGCTAGCTCAGGGGGTAGGAATGCATGGGAAAGAAAGACACAGAGAAGTGACTATAGGGAGGAAGTGAGAAGAGAGCTGTTACATTATGAGGAATTGCAGTCAATATCATGAAACAAAATGTGTATGAAATGCTGTATGGAAAACGAATTTGCTCTGTAAACTTTCACCCAAATCACAACAAAAGTTAAAAAAAAAGTCTTTCCACTGCTTTTAAGAGAATTAAAAACATTGAATAATAAAAAGAAATGTATGTAGTGATTTTTGTCAGCTTCATAAAGCTGATATGACAACCACTATTAACTATTTCAACCCAAAGCAACTTTTTAGACCCAAGGTCTAGGATTACTGTTAGGAATATTGAGCAGTACAAAGTGCATAATTAACCAGTTGCCATGGAGTCGACTCCAACTCCTGTCAACCACAAGTGTGGCAGGGTAGAACTGTGCTCTATTGGGTTTTCAGTGGCTGAGTTTTCAGAAGCAGACGGCCAAGCCTTTCTTCCAAGGCACCTCTGGATGAACTAAGACCTCAGCCTCTCAGTTAGGTTAGCAGCTGAGCGTGTTAGCAGTTTGCCCCACCCAGGGTCCCCTGGGACATAATTAGCAGAAGTCAAACTTAGAAAACAACCATCTAAAACCAGAATTAAAGGGAAACGTCATTTGGTGGTTTAAACGTCTGAAAGTGCATGTAAGAGAAATGTCAAATACCTGAAGGAGGAGGAAGGTCGATTTTCTGGTGTTCTTGAAGATGCAGGTCCAAACAGCTTTCTTTGGTCCTCCTGTGGTGTAAACGGCCTTTGAGTTCTAACTGTTCTTAGCGCATTTCGAGCTTCGCTTATGATTTCTGCACTGGTCTTCTGCTTGGACATTGAGGGTCGATAAAACGGATCCAGCTTTTCTAACTTTTTATCACTTGGAGACAGCATCGTTCCTTTTAAAGGTAACGTTCTTCAGGTTGACACCACACGCTGCAAATGTATGGTACAAACCATCAACTATTTTTATCCAATAGTTTAGACAGAAGTGCTTAAACCTACCCATAGTAGCTTAAACACTGCACTATATTCAATTTGAAATGATCATCAACCATTTTTAATTTAAAAAATACAGCAGTTAGAAGGTCTAGAAGGTCAGGAACAGCTCTCAAAGCTATCTGTACGGTTATGCCTATGCACATGATTGAGGAAGAAGGTGTGCAGGGAAGAGGCCCAGGAAGAAAACTAACTCTTGAGGAGAAAGAAGATACATCACGATAGGCAACAGAATAGGAGAGGGAATTGCCTCATATCCACCAATCTAAAAGGGGTTCTGTTAAAAAATTAACTAAACTTTCCTTTTCTTCACTCCACATTTATATGAGTTGATTCAAATCCCCTTTAATCTCAGCTAGTGTCTGAGATGAATATATATCAAGTAGCAATAGCACAGCGGTCCCTTCCCAGGCCTTTTTCCTCATTTGAAAAGTTAAAGTGCTCCCAATACTAGGCATATACCCTAAAGCAGTGAGAGCCAGGGCAAGAACAGATAATATGCACATGCATGTTCATCACAGCACCATTTATAATAGCAAAAAGAGGGAAAAAATCTAGATGCCCAACAACAGAAGAATGGACAACCAAACTATGGTACATACACACACACAATGGAATACTATGCAACACTAAAGAATAATGTAGAATCTGCAAAACACCACACAACATGGGTGAACTTGGAGGAAATAAGTCAATCACAGAAGGACAAATATAGTATTGTGGTGTTGTTGTTATGTGCAGTCGAGTCAGACCCGACTCATAGCAACCCCTCCTTGGGCTGTCGAGGCAGTATCACTTACGGAAGTAGATTGCCCAACCTTCCTTCCAAGGAGTGGCTGGTGGGTTTGAACCGCCAGCCTTCTGGTTATCAGTCAAGTGCCTTAGGCACTATGCTACCAGAGATCCTAAACACAGTATTAGTTCATTATTATAAAAAGTCAAAGAAAGGTTTATATATGGAAGGTAATTTTCTTTGTTGGTTACCAGGGGTGGGAGGGGAGGGAAACGAATACTGAAAAAAAAAATGAATTGACCCATGTCACTTTAGTTTTGTGTATTTCACTGTACATAAATTATATTTCAATAATTTTTTTTTTTTTTAAAAAGCTAAAGTCCTGCACAAGAGCCATGAAAATGCAGATTCTTCTCAAATGCTGGTGTATTCCCGTGGAGGGCTGGATAACATAGCAAGACACCTCTGACAGCTTTAAACTCTTTTTAAACATTTAATTCTAATCAGTATATGGCATTAGGTTTTCATTAAAAACAAAACAGAACAAAAACTCTAATCCTCTAAAAAATGTTACAGCTCTAGGGAGATCACCAGGACCAAACCCACTGCCGTTGAGTAGATTCCAACTCATAGCAACTCTATAGGTCAGACCAGAACTGCCTCATAGGTTTTCCAGGGCTGTAAATCTTCACAGGAACAGATTGCCTCATCTTTCTCCCACGGAGCAGCTTGTGGGTCAAACTGCCAGCCTTTTGGTTAGCAGCCAAATGCTTTAACCACTGCACCACCAGAGCTCTCTTCTCTTGGGAGACACAGATCTAGAAATGATTCATATATTTCAGCTGCCCAATTTCAGGAACAACTTCTGGGGAGTAGGTGGGTGGGAACTGTATGCTGATAATATGCCCAAGGAAAGTAAAATGACTCCATTTCCATAAGTGGAAGATACCAACAGGTGATCCCTTAAGCAAATAAAGATATACCCCATTATGATTCTATACATGAAGTTGCTCCATAACAACAGACAAGAATAACATCTGTTTAGTTTACCCAAGCCCCTCCTCAAGAGTCTGTTGTGGAAAAGACTTAGATGAAAACTATAAACAATATATCATTCTTTTCATATGGAAAGGGCAGGTGTTGAAGTGAAACCGTGAGAATTACTGAGTAAGCAATGCTATCCTTAGAATTTTCTCTATAGGTTTTTGAATTTGTTAAGCAAGGTCTCTGGAACTAAGTGCATTAATACAACTATCAGAAACTCTGGCAGCCCAGTACATTTTGCTTCTAGCACTTCCAATATGATTGATTCTTTATTAAAAAAATTCAATGCTAACTACTAAAATATATATATAAAGGGTTTTATACATATCTATAAATTATTTATTTTGGGATGCATAACAATATAAATTCAATGCCCACAATATCTCATTAAGCAGTTATCATAGGTTGGTTTGTTTTTAAAAGGTCCATTGCAGTACGAACTCATGTCCCATGATGCGAAATTGCTTACAAACCAAACCCAAACCAATTGCCATGGTGTCGATTCTGACTTAGCTGGTCCCACGTGTTGCAGCATAGGGTTTTCAAGGTCATGTGACCTTTCAGAAACTGATAAATAGGACTTTCTTGCAAGGTGACTCTGGGTGAGTTAGAATGGCCAGCTTCTCAGTCAGAAGTCAAGTGCCTAACCGTTTCTACCACCTGGGGACTCCACGGTCTTGACTGAAGGTTCTCCACGGTATAGTCTAGCTTGCACTGAGAACTATACTCTTTCAGCAGGAACATTTACTCAGGTCAAATGCTAAGAATTCTGTGAATTATTTGGGCACAAAGGAAATTATACTGTAAGAAAATAGTGGTGGAAACAGTGTAGATAATGACCTTAAAATGATTTTTCTATAAATTTTTACCATAAATTCCAATACAACATTCTTTCTCCTTCTTCTTTTCCCCAAATCTCACTTTAACTGGGAGAAACTGGCTCAATTATGTAAGATTTGCCCAGTTAATAATTAACATTATTTTTATAGTAATATTCCATTACTGGGAGAAACTGGCTCAATTATGTAAGATTTGCCCAGTTAATAATTAACATTATTTTTATAGTAATATTTCATTAAATAAATCAAACATGGAAATGTTCAATAATGCAAGTGAACTGAATTAGAAATTGGTTATTTTGGGGGGATGGAGAATGTTTTTTCTTTATAATTGTTAAATTACAAATTCTTACTATAGATGGCTTTTAATCAACTTGAAAAACAACTCAGAGTTTGCAAGCTTGCCCACTTATAGCAAAGAATGCCTGAACTATAACACAATGAAACAAAGAGAAAAACCAAACCCTATTGCTGTCGAGTTGATTCCAGCACACTTAGGGTTTTCTTGGCTACAATTTTATGGAATCAGACTGACATGCCCTTCGTCTGTGGTGCCAACCTTTTGGTTAGTCAAGTATAAACCATTTGTGCCACCGAGGACACAACAGTAACACAGAAATTTTAACCTTACAAAAATTCTCCTGGCAATTGGAGCAAATTCATTCTACTAGTATTTATTAGGAAGCTCTGGTAGCATAGTGGCTAAGGCACTTGACTGCTAACCAGAAGGCTGACGGTTCAAACCC